CCTGCAGTACAATTGAACCTTAAGGACCATGTACTACTGAGGGTACCTTTACATTGTTTGTGCCTTAGGGGGGCTAAAGTTTACCTGGATGAACTCTTAAAAATGATTCCCCAATGGTTCCTGGTTCAGGGAAAACTTTCTTCACAAAGATAGTTTTATATAGTCTACAGGGGGCCCAGATGGTCCACATTTTGCTCTCTCCCTGTGTTTCAAGTTAGTTTGGAGTGATAATCTGGACCCTCTGGGGGTCCTTGAGGACCTGTTGGAGAACCACTGCTATGTAGCCAACTGAAAAGTATTTTGGTAAATCAGAAGTTGTTTTTCTATAGTATTGCTCCAAAGAACCATTTTTGGCACATTTACTTTTAAGAGTGTAGTGAAAAAAGGTCCCAAATCAGTATTTGTTATACTTATTACACTATTATAGAGAACAGAATTAGAAAATGGTGAGTACGCTCAAACCTGTATGATAGCAGTCACATTCTACCACTTGCGACACCATGCATTATGGGTATTCTGTGCCTGCTATATTACACGTACTTCAATTACTGCAGTGCAGGATTATAAGACTACAATCGATATTATGTCCACTATGTTTTTTGCACCACTGCAATGTCCATGCTTTATAGTAAAACTCATCGTCAAATAATTTAAATAATCATAATTTGGAGATTAATTATTTACTAATGAAACTGATAGTGATTGCTCCAATAATTACAACACACATTTAGATGACTGTTCTTTTCTCTCACTTCCTCATTCTCACACACAGGGTGTACTGTATGAGATAGACAGCAAGAACGAAAGCTGCAAGAAGCAGACGCTGAAGTACCACCGGCACCCCATGGACCTGCCCTCCGACGCCCATTACGAGAGTGAGGCGTATCTGGGCAGCCCGTCCAAGTCCGAGCAGGGCCTGAGAGTGCGCACGTGGAACGGAAAGCTACCTGATCTTCATGGTTAGAATCTCCCTCATTCACTCCCATTCTCTGCCTTTCTCTTGCAGATTTGGGTGACTTCATGAGGTCTTAGCTTTTGAACTAACAGCTGAAACAACTTCATATACATATTTAAAAAAATATTCCTCTACAAGATATTTGAACATTTTTCTGGACACATATTAACATGATAAATAGCCAGGATCTGTTCCTCATCTCTATATCTTAATAATAACTGAGGCAGTTTGCACTGTTTTCTATGTAATTACTGAATAATAAGCCTTAGGATGTAATACGCCTGAGATTAAGCAGCACAGCCAAAAATTATTCTATGGGGAGAATCAGTGCTCTTTAATCTGGGACTTGTTTTATCCAGACATTCATGTTTAACATCACTGTCTATCATTAGTAAATTTATATTCAATATTCATTTTGTCATTTTGCTTAATGCCATTTCATCAGTGCATCAGATAGGGTAAAAGTTGCTAGAATACAAAGAATACAGGAGCCAAATCCAGTCTAGTAATGTTTCATAAACTGTGGTTTTAAAGAACTCATTTCTTCATGTTGCTGATTTGGTTGCAGCCAACTACACTATGCTGACCACATCCTGTGGATGCCTGACTGTTTCCTACTGCTACCATAGCGAGAAGACTGACCTCTACTTCAGGTCAGTTTAAACATTTGGGGAAAAAAAATGTTTAGAGGCTACCTCTCTGCATCCATTGTATCCAACAAAAAGACTAAGCATGCCATGGTTCTTCATTATATATACAGTATAAATATTTCTTTAATGAACACTGTATAAAAATAAAGTATCCAAAAAGTACACTGTAAATTAACTGTTCAACCAAAAACTCTAATGTAGCTAAGAATGGATAAAAACTGATAAAATGTAAAAGCTACTGTTTACATAGTCTTGAAAAGTTTGACTATTAACTAATTAACAAAATATCTAACTAATCAAATGTTGCACCAGAGTCCAATCCTAAAATCAGCCCTGATACAGTCTGATTTGCAAGTGCACTACTCAATGTTAAATTAATTGGTTGGGGGGAGAGGGTTGATTGTTCAACCAAGGAATGCTAATGTGGCAAAAAAATGACTTATACTCACTTAATAAGCTAGTTTATGGTTAGCATGAACCTATTTAATTAAACGTACAACACTCCTAAACTTCCTCTGCCTTGCCTCTGACCTTTCTCAGTTTCATGAACGTGGAGACGGAGGTTGACGACGTGCATGTCTTTGCACCTCCGGCCTACTGTGATGGCGTGGCTTTAGAGGACACACCCGATGACCACAGCTTCTTTGACCTGTTCCACGACTGAAGTGGCTAAAAACATATGAATCAACAGACACAGGATGACAGCACGCAACAAAATCCAAAAAAAACCTTTCCAATACAAAGTTTCACTATATCCAATTTCTCTTCTTTCTTAGGAGTAAATCTGACAGTCTTTAGTTCAATCACCATCTCTGTTTTCAGTTACAGTACTGTTTTGTCTTTTTGAGACTCTGTTTCTTTTTTTATGAAGTCAATAAACGCTCAAAAAAAATTACACAGAAAGCCTCGACATCTTTCTCTGAAACTTGTTAAACATGTATTCATTGCCAGCGTAAACCAAGATAAAGCAAACTGTGAAATAAAAAGTGAAATAAGATCAGTGAGTAAAGACTACAGAATACAACTACAGAGAGACGCACAAATTCAGAGGTCTAGTTGTTTTCTTAAAATCACCTTTTCTCTACATTCAGAACCAACAATCTCAGTTTCTAGAATAGTTGCTTTCATTCATTTTAATACATTGATTCCTAAACATATTAAATGGAATATTACAGATTTCTCACGAATGAATTTATGCACGGTTATGTACTAATGTTGTGAATTTCTTTTTATATAATATTAGTGTATATGTGTAAAATCTTTTCTTTATGTGTCTATGAAGTAAACATTTTAATTCAAATCCAAAAGCTACATTTTTGTGTTCCATCAGAAACAAAGGTACTCTGCAGGTACATTTTTGTTCAAGGTACAAACAATGTGAATGTATCCTCAAAGGTACAACAATGGTTTAAAGGCCCAACTGTGTACCTTAGACTTCTATTAGACGTAGACTACTATTAAAACATGATGTATAAAACAAATGAAAACGTTTTGTTTATTATAAAACCATGAAAAATCCCTCTACTAGTAGGCCACAACTATCACACCGTGTTGATGTCATATGGCTGCACTGGACTCAGTCCTACAGAAAATAAGACGATCCCAGTTTTTCATTTCGGTAATGTCATGCCCAGCTAAAGCTGAAAAAGCCGGAAGATATATTTGAAGGATACACTATATGGACAAAATTATTGGGACACCTACACATTACATCCACAGGTTCTTTTATGACATCCCATTCTAAATCCATACGTGTTTATATGGAGTTGGTCCCCCTTTGCAGCTATAACAGCTTCTACTATTCTGGGAAGCTTCCTACAAGATTTTGCAGTGTGTCTGTGGGATTTTTGTCTATTCATCCAGAAGAGCATTTGTGAGGTCAGATAATAATGTTGGACAAGAGGGCCTGCCTCGCAATCTGCATTCAAATTTATCCCAAAGGTGGGGTCGAGGTCAGGGGTCTGTGTGGGCCAGTCAAGTTCTTCCACACCAAACTCACTCAGCTATGCCTTTATGGACCTTGCTTTGTGCACTGTGGGCTCAGTCATGCTGGAACAGAAAACGTTCTTCCCCAAACTGTTCCCACAAAGTTGGAAGCATAGAATTGTCCAGAATGTCTTGGTCTGCTGAAGCATTAAGATTTCCCTTCACTGGAACTAAGGGGTCTAGGCCAACCCCTGAAAAACAACCCCATAGCTTTATCCCTCCTCCACCAAACTTTACAGTTGGCACAGTGCAGTCAGGCAGGTAATGTTCTCCTGCCATTCGCCAAAACTGGCTCGTCTATCAGACTGACAGATAGAGAAGTGTGATTCATCACTCCACAGAATATGTTTCCACTGCTCCAGAGTCCAGTGGTGATGTGCTTTACACCACTCCATCCACGTTCGTGTCAGCATCAGTGTTGGTGACTTTTATGAACTATGTGCCCTCGGCGATCCCGCTCTCTTCAGGTGGTCTGCCACTTCGTGGCTGAGTTGCTGCGGTTCCTAAATGCTCACACTTTTCAATAATACCACTTACATTTAATTGTGGAATATCTAGAATGGAAGAAATTACGCAAACTGACTTTTTGCAATGGTGGCCTCCTATTACAGTACCACTCTCAAATTCAGTAACACATTGTTTCACAATTGTGAAAAGCCAGACTGCATGGCTAGGTGCTTGATTTTGTACACCTATGGCAATAGGACTGAATAAAACACCTGAATTCAATGAGTAAGAAGTTGTGTCCCAATACTTTTGTCCATATAGTGTATATCACTCAATGGACAAGACAGCCACCAATTGATGCTGCAACAAATGGCAACCTACTATTAGAGGGATTTTGTCAATTTTTTATACCAGATATTATGGTATGTTATTTAGATATTATGTTATTATTGTTCTAAACAATATATTTTAATAGTATTAGATATTTACATCATCTTGAGGCTTACAACAAACAGTCAGTGTTTCTTTTAACTGTGTCCCATGGGAAAGGTAAATATTTTTACCTTTTCATAACTTTTCACGTTTTAAAACAGAACAATAAAATTAAAAACCAGGAGTCGAGACAGGATGTATAGAGTCAGTGCGACGTTAAAATTACAATTGCAATGACGTATGGTACAATTATGTCCCCTAACTACTGAAGACGTACCACCCCATTTAGTATTAAGTATTGTAAGAACGTATATATATATATATATATATATATATATATATATATATATATATATATATATATATAATTACCTTGTTTATCTGTATTGTCTCTTAAAATCTTTTTCATATCAAACGGTTCTATGCATCTAACACAATATGGGGAACCAGTGGTCAAATCGCCAAACTGTGTTCTTCCAGTGCTGGGCTTGGTCACCCCTGCAGGATGTGAAGTGGAACCTGCCCACCGGAACAAGCGGATTAATACGCTTGTATTTATTGCCTCTTACTCCTAATACATTGTAAATATGGCAATAGCGCACGTGGCGACCGAATACGTGTTTTCTGACTTTTTACTGAAAGAACCCAACGAGTCTAAATACAAAGGGGTGCGTCTGGAACTGGCTGCGGACAAACTGGTGGCTTTTATCGCGGTGGGACTCCCTCTACTCCTCATCTCTCTAGCCTTCGCCCAAGAAGTGTCTGTGGGTGAGTGTGGAGCTGTTTTATGTGAAGAAACACTTCCAAACTCAGCGTTCACGCCTTTTTACATGCGAAACCGTTCAAAACAAGACAGTTTTACCTCACAAATGTAGCTTTTGCTCCGTGTCTTATCGATGGGGGGCTTCTGTGTTGCTGTGACAGGCTAAACTGACATGACGGAGCACTTTATAGCGGCGTGAGAGAGAAAGAAACGGTAGATTATTAAAGAGATAACAGGGGTTTTCGTGTGTAGCCTTAGCTAGCTACTAACTTAATGAAACCTGTTTATGTTCCTCCTCGGCTGAAGCTGAACTTGGTCTCTGAGCGGTTTTGAAGCAGCGACTCCGTTATTTTCTCCGTTCTCTTCCATTGTTCAGCTGAAACAGACCGCTAGTCAACTCGTAGACAGCCTGAGAGTTTCATTTTAGGCTTAATATCTAAGTTTAACACGGAATATTTCGATATTTCGGCCGTTTCTGGTGATAATTTGACAGAACCGTTTCAGTTTCTTAGCTTAACGGCTAACCCATTGAAACAAAAGCCGCGCGCGCCGCCTCTTCGGATTCAGTAGCTAAGCAACAGGGCGCGTGAACCTTTCACAGTCTGACTGAGAGAAAGTCAAACAGAAACGCCCTGATATGATTGATAATTTACACACTCCTGTAATTAAAGAGCAAAAACCACTCCGGGCATCTTTAAAATCATTACATACGTTTCATATAAGGTTCTCTGACAGCCATAGGCACTAAATCCATATTTCATTTGTGGCCAGTAGAGGCGCTCTTTGTTTGGGAAAGCTTGTAGTAGAATAACAAAGTCCTAATGTCTTAATGTCCTAAATGATGATAATCTAATTAGTGCGCTCCAGTGGGCATAAATGAAGCTTGTCTGGGGCAAAGGGGGCACTCCTGATTATAGCAGCTTTCCCAACCAACAAGCGCTTAAAAGTGGTCCTAAAAACACCAAAGCGCCCTAAACAGAGACGCACTGGAGGGACAATCCAATGGACACTCTCTGGGCACAATGTTATTAGCCTACTATAAACAAAAATAGAAGAAAAAAAGCCTGATGTGGAACTCTCCATATGTAGAGGCAGGGCTCGATTTGAGGGGGATGCAAGGGGAAAATGGTAAAAATAAAACAATAAAAAGAAAACGACATCTCCATTGTAAAAGACCACCCCCTTTCCATCCCCTTTGATTAATGTAATATCACTTGAGATTGCTTTTATCAAGGTTACAGAGTTTTTCACCTCAAAAAAGCAAGTTTTATTTTTTATTGGTTACACTGGTTGAACCCACCATCCTGCCTGAATCTGAAGAAGGACATAACAGACTAGGTTTATGTGAAATTAAATGTTATTAGCTCTTTTTGTAGGCCTCTGACGTTTTTAATAATATAACCAAAGTAAAATATAATTCAGATTTAATTAAACAACTAATTTAATTAAGAATATGAAACTTACAGGATTAACAGAGGAACCTCCAAAACAGGCTGAAATGACATTTTATGGCTACTGTGAAAAAGGGTTTAATTTACTGTAACTCACAGTGTCAGTGATTTAGCGACAATAGAACAGCATTTTTGGCTGCAAAAAGAACAGATAAGGTGCGTTTCTAAATGACTGTTACTTTAAATTCTGCTCCCTGGAGCCTGATTGAGTTTCCACTGTGGAGAGCAGGGCCTTCGTAGGGAGCAGGGCGTACGGGTGTAGGCGTGAACACTTTGGAATGAACTGAATATTTTGTCTGGACTTGTCCATGATGTGTGATTAGCCTTCAGTACATGTGGGACAAGGAACCTGTTCCTGTCAGTCACTGAGATTGTGGCTTCCCCAAGTCATCTCCACTTACCATCACCTCGCCTTTTTAGCCAAAGAGCAGTTGACCATATTTTCCAGTTTATGGGTAAATCAGTAGATGTGTCTCCCCCTGTGGGGCTTAAAACATTTTCTAGATAAATACTTGCTTTGCCATTTGTTCCCAGAGGTAATTTCTATTTCCATCCTCATGTTTAGTCTCACATATCATCAAGCCTCTATCCTGGGATTCCCAATATAAACCATAGGACTGACCCAGTTTCTCTGCAATGAACCATTTCACATCAAAGCGATGACTTTATTTACATCTCTATGATTGGATAATTCAGAAATTCAGAAAAATTGATGGAATTCCCCAACTCTTGGCTTACTGTGCACCACAAATGAACAATGACCATAAAGCAGTTTCAGCACATTTCAGGGACATTTACTGTGTAACTGTTTAGGAAACAGGGGCTGTATTACAGAAACTTCCTATCTTTTTGTCTTAACCTGAGATCTGACAGGTCAAGATAAGATTTTTCACAATTTTGTGTTACAGAAGCAAATCTTATCTTAATTTAAGAATCTTATTTTACAGCATCTTTTCTTATCTCAAGTTAGGAGACCTTAACTTACTCGACTGAAGTCGACAATCAGCTGTTGTGTCTGTTACCTAGCAACCGACCACATGCACACAGCTGAAACGTAAACACGTAATCAAGTTAGTTAGCCAGATAGCTAACATTAGCTACCGTTACTGATGTAAAAAGGTCCAACAAAATTAAAGGGCAATGAACTTGAAGTTATTAATGTTGTGACAGTGCTTGGTGCTGTCTATCAGAGCGTCGCCACTCTACAGTTTCAGTTTCATTTCCCAAACGCTTACTCCTCCTAATAAACAGACACACGTTCAGCTCTGTCTCCCCATTATTCACCACATTCACTGTAATATCGTATCTGACAAGTTTTTATCAAACATTATCCCCCGGATGTAATAAGAGGGGACGGTGGAGATCGTGTCTGCAGTGTCTGGGGCTTTTAAACGCTGTTAGAAAAAAACCTCACAAGTCAAAGCACCGTTTTCAGTGTAAATAAATGTAGCGTCATTATGCTGGTTATAGTGAACTGTGTTGCTGTCACTGCGTAAAACAAAATAAACAGACGATTAAAACAGAAGTTAAGTCGCTCTGGGGTTGAAATGTAAGAAAATATTTAGGATATTTTGGCAACTTAGGATGTTTCTGTAACACAGTTTTCTCATCTGGAAATAAGAAAAGATTATAGACCTAAGAACTGTTGTTCTGTAATGGCTTCTGTCCTAACTTTAGTCTTAACTGAAGTTGCCATGACAACAAAGCAGATAAGATATGATCTCTGACTTAAGAAGTTTCTGTAATATGGCCCCAGGTACTCATCTTCTTTTTTAATGATACTTTCTAATTAATAGTATTTATTACAAGACTGAATTCTTTTTCCCTCTAAGATCCAATCCAGCAATTACTACCGATATCTGTCTGATATCCTTCAATACTGATATGCCATCTCTAGCTGAGATGCATTAAAACACTAGCTATATCTTGCAATATTGTCACTGTCTGCATTTTCAAAGTCAGAGTGATTACAAATGATCACTCTGCCTCATTCATCTGTGACCTTTCATCACTGCCCTGTTGCTCTAAGGTTCCCAGATTAGTTGTTTCCCGCCAGCAAACTTCACCCTGCGCCAGGCTATATATGTGGACTCCTTCTGCTGGGTTGCTGTGGAGAGCCAAACTACAGAGAATGGCTGCCCCCTCTGGCTACATAAGGTAATACAGTTTGCTGAACTACACATACATAGGCACAAAACTGTAAGAAAACAGTCAAGGGAAACTATACTTACTTTAATTGTCTGACATCTCTCTCACTTTGTTTTTTTGTTTTTCTCTTTACAGTTCTTTCCATATATCCTTCTGCTGTTGGCCGTCCTCGTCTACGTCCCTGCTCTTTTTTGGCGTTTCACGGCTGCTCCTCAGCTCTCCTCAGACCTCAGCTTTATCATGGAAGAGCTGGACCGTTGCTACAACCGTGCCATCCGCCTGGCCAAGAGCTTGGCAACCAGTAGCCCAAGTGCCAAGGACATCTCTGAGGACCCCCACAGGTACACCGGCCAACAATGGCTTTCTGAAAAGTAGCCTGAAAAGTAACTCAAACTTGAGGATTTTGCCAGCAGATCTTAGATATTTATGATGATCATTGTGATGATTTAGTTATGCAGCTTGCACATTGTTAATTGGTGGACTGATGTTGAATTTAAGTGCTGAAGACAACAACTGATAACCTTGTTGTGGTTGGTAACGATATCAATTTAAAAAATAATGTACCTTTTTTGCATTTTAAAGCAAATGCACAGTGTAGCCCATGTAAAGTACAGTGGGTGTGAGACAGGTTAAAACTATTGGCTATACAGGTAAATGGAAAATACTGTATGATCATTGTGCAAAACCTCTCCACTGCTAATATTCTCACTCTGCAGAAACATGGGCCGCGAGGTTATGAGTTGCAATTGAGATATTAGACTGTGCTTTGTGGTACTTCTTAATAACACCTTTGGTCTATGTGTGTGTTAGTGGTCTGGAGGTGGCAGAGGGCTGTTTTAAGTACCCTCTGGTGGAACAGTATCTGAGGACCAAGCGTGGGACATGGACACTAGCGTGGAAGTACCTGCTCTGTCGGGTTCTCACTCTGCTCACCTTGCTGTTAGCCTGCATCTACCTGGCCTACTACATCTGCCTGGTGTCCCCCACTGACCAGTTCTCCTGCCATTTATACACAGGTGAGACCTCTAGCATAGGTACCCCTGTTATCGGCCACCTCAAAACAAAACATCGGGAAACTAAGCTAACTGTAAATAAATGAAAGCACTTTACTCACCCAAATCAATGTTTTTCGGGAGAGATATATGTGTAGATTAATGTCCAAGAGTCATTTGACTTGATGAGAAAACAGGTTTTTCAATAATAACGTTTTTGTTTACTTTGACACTAGTATCGCTAGAATGATGGGGGTCCCCCAATATCGGCCACCTCACTTCCAGTTTTCCATAACTCATCTTTCAGCCTAAAATTCAGCGTATAAAATTGTAAAAAACATAAAATATATGTATATATTCGTTAGTAAAATGTGATGTTATTATATTGTTTCATTATTCAACTTGATTCGCTTGTTTATCTAAGTATGGAGCTCAGGAGCTGCGCGCCTGATTGTGCCAGTCATATGAGAAATCGCGTTTACGCATCATTCCTACCAGACTCAATGCTTTACAATGCTTCACAATGAGGTTAAGTTTGTCCTCTGTGGGCACCCTTACGCCATATACGTAACACCACCATGGCGGCAAACTTACCTCAGAGAAGAGAAAGCTAACCGATAAGCTAACTTTCTACACAGACCAATATCCATCACGGAATGAAAATGGGCTGTGTGTTCCATGCAGTTTTGTACACGCAGAATTACAACATTATTAGTGATACTTAAATATTGTTTTCAGATATGATTTTTTGCTAGAATAAAGTTTAGATGCCCTTGTAAGGCGCAAGCTTATGTGTTTTGAATTTCGGCTGAGCAGTTGGCGGAGAGAGAGAGAGAGGAATTGCGCAATACGCGCAAGTGGCCGATATTGGGGGACGGCCGATGTTAGGGGTAGCTACGTTATATACTGTTCGTTTACGGACTATTATTAGAAGTGGATAAAAGAGCCTGTTTTCAGATTTAGGTGTAAAAGTACTATGATTATAGAAGTAGCCACCAAAAACAACTACCAATGTGCTAGGTAAAAGTCAATTATTTAGCTCCTGAAATAACTGAGATCTTCTACATCTAGCATTTATCAGTATGTGAACTAATATTAATCTATGTTCCTCACTTGTTGGCCCTTTTGGCCTAAAATAAAATGTTCATACTCAGTCTAGGAGCTGAACCAATACAACTGAATGAAATTCATTCAAAAAACATTGGGAACTAAACAAAGGATTAAAGTGGAACTGAGGAAAATATAGTTTTCCCCAAAATGTGGGGAAAAGTGAAAGTAAGTGAAAGTATTGTCCTCTGAAAATTTACAGAAGTAAGAAATTTGGATAGTAATCTGACCAACGTTTCTCCAGATCCACAGTGAAGACTTGTTTTGTGTTATAAAAGTAACATTTTTCATCGTAAGGGTTTTTCAGTTACTGAATCATGTGTAAGTCACTATTATTGTATTAACTGTGTAATATAGAACCATTTTAAACCTTATAAACAACTCATAGTGAGAGCTGTCCAGGCTAAAGTACAGCCTGCACAGGTCAGGATTGGGTCATGCTCTGTTTTTCCCAAGCTAATTATTCATTATGTGTGTTTTTTCATGTGCTCAATCTGTTGATGTGTGTGTTCATGAAGAATAAGAGTGTTTGTTTGTGTACTAATGGCTGTATGTGTGTGTTATGTACTCAGGTGTGCCTGTGAATGGGAGTGCACCCCCTGCTGTGCAGTGTAAGCTGGTGGCGGTGGGCGTGTTCCGCTTGCTGAGCTGTATTAATGTGGGTGTGTACCTGCTGCTGATACCTGTTGTGATATACTCCACCCTGTCACCCGCCCATCCACACCAGCATGGCCGCTTGCTCCGCCCCTACCGGCTCCTGCCAACATTCGGACACGCCCAGGGGCTGCAGTTGTCCTCCCGTCACTATGACGACCTGAGCATTTACCTCCTCTTCCTGAGGGAGAACTTGAGCGAGCTGAAGAGCTATAAGTGTCTGCAGGTATGTGTGTGTGAGTTAGGACTGCAGGCAGTATAAAAATTTAAAAAATTAATAACCAACCTTAAAGTTTTACATGCATTGAACTTCAAATAATAAGTTAACAAAATGTAAGATGCTGATTTTTGTTTTAGTTGTAATTGCTTGCTGATGATGTAATTGATGATGTTAATCATGGAAAAAAAAATTGGGATGCAGTAGTCCTGAATTTTTTTGGCCAATATTCTATGATTGGAAAAATATCTGCCGGTTCTGATCTTAGCTTTTTGTGATGTGCAGCCTTTGAATGATGGCAGGAGCAAAGTGAGATGAAATGGCGGAATGCATAAGAATAAAAGTAGGACGTTTTTCTTCTGCACATCCAAAAACAAGAAGTAACCCAAATAACAGGAACCAACAGAACTTAGGGTTGTACTTCTAATTAGTTTTCCACTTATTTGAAAGCTGATTTGAATGATCATACACTGTAAACATTAGGTGCCTTAAATATCCAGTTGGGTACTCAAAGAACTGAAAAATACATTTTAAGTTCCTCTAATAACCTTCCTGCACAATGGGGTTTCTGGAGGAACCCTTGACAGTTTACAAGCTCTTGCAGGAACCTCACTGGGTTCCATTAAGCACCACTCTTCCGTTCTAGGTTCACGGTGGACCTCACTTCTTCTGAGTGAGCCCTCACGCACCTTTGGGGGTTCCTAGAAGAACCTGTAGGCCTAAAAGGGGTTATTTTAAGAACCCTACAGTTTTTTGGAGTTCCTAATAATCCTCTTGTATTCTAGCAGGTTCCTTGAGTAACCAAAAGGTTTACCAAGTGTGGTCAGTAGTAGGCCTTAAACCCTGACATAAACCAGCAGTTTAAAAATGGTTCATTGCACCCAAAAAGTTATCAGACCATGCTGGACAAAATGGCGTCCCAAGGAACCTTGTAAAATAAGTTCCTCAGAGAACTGCCCTTTTCAGGAAGATTCTTGAAGGCTCCCTGAAGGTTCCGCCAGTGTGGCAAGTTGAGGAACCCCATAAGGTGCATTAAGTATCTTTTTGTTTTTACAGTGTAGTGACAATTAGGTTCATATTTACTGTCAGGAGATTCACATCTGCTTATAACTGAAGTGGCTTTTATGTGCATGTGCAGGTGTTAGAGTTGCTGACAGGGGGAGAAAGTGAAAGCCTTGACACAATGTGTCTTCTGAGGACTCTTGGACAAGTGAGGACCGATTTGGTGGACAAAAAAGTGACCCCCAATATAGATGGCAACAGCCAATCTGCTCTCGTGAAGGAGGAAGTAGACTCTTTCAAGCTCAAAGGTTAGTGCAACATCAGTTTCACATGATTACAGGAGCATTTATACTTGTAGTTTGGATTCCTTGGTCCAGACCAAAGCAGAATAATATATACTACATAATATATATAATATAATACAATGTGCCAATTCAGTTCTGGTTTGCTTAATGTTCACACTTACTTATTTAACATCAAATCAAAAGGATGTAAACATATGAGTAACAGGTCACAACTAATTGGGCAGATTTTCTGACGTACAATAACTGTGATAATGTCCACTGAACTTTCTGAATTCTGAATCCGAAGCTATTCTCAGTTCTGTTTATTCTTGTTGGGTTTATTTATGTCGTTCTATCTGTTTTGTCATATTAGAGCAGTTAGCTGCGAGACTCCCTGCCTTAATATAGTTTTGCAGGATGCTGAGCAGGGTGAAATCCCTGTAACAGCTTTCAGTGGCTTACTACTTTTACTAAACAGAGAAACTTTGGCACATTAATACATAATATAATTTATGTGTGCTGTCAAATGTGTATATCAGGTATTTTGTAATGACTTAATACGTGCTTCAGCCTTGTTTTAAAACCAAAACTATCTGGTCTATAATTACCAATACAGTTTATGTTAATGAAGAGTTTATGAAGAGATGCTAAAACACTTATATGTGTCAAAACAGCATCAGAAAGTCGTTCCTTGTACAAAAGAAGTTCTGCAGAGAGAAGGCGACGGTTCATTCTGTCTTTGGTCCGTATAGATCCCATGTGTCAAACGCAAGGCCCGCACAATCCTATCCGGCCCACAAAAGTATTTTAATTTTCTATTAATATTAGCCCATTTCACAAAGCACTGCACTACAGTTCCCAGCATGCACTGCAACATAATGTGCGCACCGACTCTCCTACCTCAACAACAGTCTATGGGACAGCGGTTACACCTCAATTCTATAAACTTCTGCGCAATTCCATACCAGCCATATCACCAAATGCATTTCAGCTGCAGTTCGACCAATGTAAACACCAAATGTCAGCTCAGTAGCTCAGAAATTGAGCCCAAGTCTTAATGAACTTGCAGCAAAGAAAGGATGCCGGGTGTCTAGTTCAAGCAAATAAGTAGGTTTAGAAGACCGAGCACCTGGGGACATTTAAACTTTGAATACTTCAAGTGTCCATGTAATATTTCGAGTTCTACTACAAGTGTCTGTATTTTACTGTCAAACTGTTTGCATATTTTGAATAAACAATGGCGAGTTTGGTTTATAGCACAACATTAATTAAAAATGAAATAAAAGCATTTTTTCTGACCTGCTTAGGGGGTCTTCATCCTCTTATTTAGTGTGCACCAGAGTTCAGATGGCAGTGTTCTCACTTGCAATAACGAACCGCACTGTGATTAAAATGAAATTTAAAATTCCACTTATTAAATTTAAAACATTTCTCAATGAATCAGCAACAGTATATTTGAAATCTGCATGATTTTAATGCATTTTTAAAATTCTCCTATTGCTGTGATACAGTAAAAAACAACCTGATGGACACACCCACTAACATGCCATTTTTGTGTTCTCACATTTTTTTTTATTAAATCTTTTAAGTACACTTTTATGACTTTAGTCAGAAAGCTGTCAAGGGTAAACAAATGCACTGTGTTCTTTTATGAATTATATTTTTAATGAGCAAAGTGACTGATTTGGCTATTTATACCCTTAAAAAAAGAAATAACTTGTTTGTTTCGCTGCTCTGAAGCTCTACCCCTGTATGTATTTTATTCCATGCAAACCCCATGGAACTATGCAGTTTAGACCTTTTCTACTGTAAAGGTTTCATCTGCTGCTGTCGTAACAAAACCTCATCTCCAAACCGGTTACTTTACTAGTGAAGGAATAAACGTTCTTAGCTTTGAATGGAAGTAAAAGGAACAAGATTTTTTTCTTGTTAGCATGCTGTAAAGGGCAGCGGGCACTTTCAAATTCTGTAAAGAAATACAAACAACAAAAATAGAGTGAAGAGGTTTTGTTCTGACAGCAGGGCATTACTGCAGTGACCTGTACTCAGTATGGCTTTGTGTGATTTCGCCCTCTAGATCTCTCCACTGCGCTGCTGCAGGATGGACAGAAAGAGCCCAGCTGTGGCTGTGAGAAGGACGTGAGGCAGAGATTGGTCTGAATTTCACCGTGGGTTTGTTTAAGTGACAGAGAGATAGAATTTGTGAATTCATGTCATGCCACGCATGTCCTCCATAAGTCAAGTCAAGTCAAGAGGCTTTTATTGTCATTCCATCTATGTACAAGTACACAGTGGAGCGAAATTACGTTCCTCCAGGAACAACACGGTGCAACAAGGAACAAAAAAGTACAAAAGTACAAAATTACAAAGTGCGAACATACAACAGTGTGCAAACAAAAATGCGTATGTACATTCATCTTAGTAGTGGTCGTTATACCAGTTCAACTGGTACACCAGCTGAAATTCTTCCTCAGGTAACTGTACTGGTTTCAGCAGAACCGTTATACTGGTAAGCCACACATAAGTGCAGATAATGCACAGAGTAAAACAGTACTGAAGCGTATATGAGGGTTGGAGGTGCAATTGTGTGGGACACACATATGAGATAAATGAGCTGAAGTTGGCATCTTTTTTAAATTTCCCGTTTCACCTTAAATGGTGCAGCAGTTTGATTCAGGTGCCAGAATGCAACTGCTACTCAATTTAAGGTGGACCTTTAAATTTGAACAAAAAGCAGCCAAAGAAGAGGCCAACTTAAGTAGAAATTCAGTAGAGATTCAGATGTAAAACAACATTCAGCACCATTTTTGCCAGGCCTGCAGCTTGAGAATGTATTTATACTGTAATATATGCAAATTTCAATTATACTGTCATACATTTTTGGCAAAATCAACCACTACTAATTCATCAATGTACTTAAAAGTGCTTCTGCAACTGTTTGTACATGAGGTGTGAAAATCAATCAAAAACCCATTTAAACAGTAACTTGCCTTAAATGGTGTATTGTAGAAAAAACAACTCAGATTTCTTTACAGTGGTGGTGATAGGAACCAGAAGTCATGATGTTTACAACACAAATATAGCCACTTTATTCCAAAACCACCAGTGAACCTACATGTGTTTTCTAAGTTTTTATATGTAATGTTGATAATGGAACATTAGTAGTAAATAGGAAAAAATAGGCTTCTTATTAATGAGTTTTAGGCCACAGTCTTGTAGCAAAAGTATCATTAACCAACAGGCAGCGTATTCATAACCATTCTACATTCCTGTGAGGTCACTTTTAGAGGCATTAAATGTTTGGGATGTCTGGTTTCTGTTGTCACCCCTGTGAATAATTGCGACTTGGTAAGACAGTTAGAGTTCAGTGGGAATTATAGAGTCTAATCAGCACGTTGTTATTACTCGTGCAATGCTGGATAAAGAAATATATTAAATATAAATGCACTGAACAAGTGTCATTAATTACGCTAGTAAACACACTTTTTGTGACAAACTAAATATACAATTATACATATTATACTAATATACATACACTAATTATACTAATATACATATACTAATATATATATATATATATATATATGTATATATGTATCTGTATATATATATATATATATATATATATGTATATATATGTGTGTATATATATATATATATATATATATATATATATATATATAGTATAGTATAGTACATATACTACTTATACAAATTTTGTATGCTGAATTCAAATATGCAGCACGCTATATTTTAAAGTTATGCAAATCTATATACAGTTGTATGCAAAAGTTTTGGCGCCCCTGGTCAAATGACATGTTTAGTTGATTTTCTAAGTGAAAAATTTTAACACATCGCTGTATTTACATTAGCATAGTTGAATATTTAGAGTTCAGTACATGGAACTGACATACTGTGAACCTCAAAACCCTGTTGTCTCCTCCTTCAAATGCAAAACCCGGATTTGCAAAGAGGGCAGTAAAACAAGCCAATTCCAAAATCCTAAACTGTCACGCACCAGTCTTCACTCATTAATATTCACGCCCCCCAAGATTTACATACGACAACGGAGCAACTGGAATGAAAATGGCAGACTTTGTGCAGAAATGCACTGTTCCAGGCTGTGAAGGTGACGTTGGTGCCTTTCCAAGGAACTGAACTGTTAGTGGGCATGGCTGATGTTCATCTTTGAACGAGGCTGAAATTGGCTTCTTCTTCGAATGTTCTGTTCCATCTTAAATGCCACATCTTGTACAGGTGCCAGAATGTAACTGCAGCACCATTTAAGGTGGAACTGAAAATTTGCGAAACAAGCTGGCGAATAGGAAGCCAACTTAAGCTCCCACATCTTTAACAGGATTCTGGACAACTTTAATTCAAAGTTGTTAGTTTTCACTGCACATTTTACTCTGGACAGTTTCTCAAACTTTGGACAATATCGAGCAGCTTCGCTCAGCGTTTCACACTGAAGGGACCGAAGAGGGGGCAGGTTAAACTTTATTAGCACCACAACCCCAACTAAAACCTGTAAGTAGCCATTCTGGGTGATTTTATCTACTTTATGATGTTTGAAGCCAGATCACCTTAAATGTCATCTTAAACAATTTCATTCTAGGGCCCAAATCATAGGGTTGTAAGTAGGTGTGTAAAACTGAATCTGAGCATTTTTTACCTTGACCAGTCACAACCGTCTATGTAGACATCAGAGAACATTTAAAATGAAAAATAAAAACAGATTTGGGTAAAAGATTTTAACCCACCCTCAATAGAAGTGGTCTACAAAATTACAAACAGATTTGAATTCAGCACATAAAATAAATTAGATTCACCTTATTTAGTGTGTGTCGTTTTTTGGTACGCAGTGTCGTCTGACTGTTTTACAGAAGCCTCAATACGAAAAGCAATATAATCTCAGTGGGAATAACAGCAGCTCTTTGCATGTAATAGACTAATATAGGAATGACTGCAGGAGTGACTAATATAGACTAATATAGGAGTGACTGCAGCCTTAATTATAGGGATATAAGCCATGAAAACTGTGAATTAATCCATTATAAGGGCTTCCATAATAACAGCATGCCTTTCCTCAGAGTTCTGAGTGACATATTTAGCGTATCTGCAGAACAAAACCTTCTGTCTCCTAAATGGTAACTTTACAAGAGAAGGAAAAACTTCTTAACTTGTAATAAAAGGTCAATGGAACATGATTTTAAATCTAAGTAATTTTGGACCATTTCTGTTGGTCCATTCATCATGAAATTATAATATAATTTAAACGGTAACTGGAGTTTTCAAATTATGCAAAAAAGTTAACATAGCAACAGTGGAGATACAAGGTTTTTGCATGACAGTAACGATATGCACCCATATTTAAAGCATAATGCAGGTACTGTTCATATGATGTTTTCACTGTAATGTTATGCTGTTGGTCACACCACACAGTGCGAGTTCCCAGGATGTGAATAACTCAGGAACACCATGCAGATTGAGCTGGGAAATATCTTTTAAATCTGCTGGAAGCTCATCAGAAAGTTGTGCATTGAAAAGAGTGCTCAATATGTTTAATATGTGTGACATCATAAGGCATGATTTGATTAATCTGATGCTGTCAGTCATCAAAATAAGCATCTAAGATAACTGACAGTATGGCATTACAAAAATTGAAAAGATACTTGTAAATTCTTTACTACTTTGTGATATGTGTACATTATTTGTAAATTAGAGTAAACAATAACTACTGTTTTGTTTACAGGGTAGAATGTGAGGAATGTGATGTCATGTAAACACTTAATTATGATGTAAATATCTTAATTAAGATGTAAATGCTGAAGTAATAGAAATAAATTTGTAAAAGTGCTGTATGTGTTGTTAATTTTCTCAATAACATTTAGTTTATATAAGTTACTTTATAGGTTTTGACTGAGTTCTGACTTTGAATTCTCCTTCAACACACTCGCAATCATCAGGTTCATCCACATCCACGTTACAAAATATGCACGTTGCTTGCAATTATACATTTCCACCAGAGAGGTCTCCAAATCCCCAAAACGTACATAGTGCAGCTTTAAAGGGGAATTTCACAATTTTTTTTCAAAAATATCTGAATAATTCAGTCTTTGAGATGCAAACAGAGTCATTCAAAGTGATGTGAAATGTTTAATTTGCAGAGAAACTGCAGTGGTGGTGATGGGAACCGGGAGTCCTGATGCTCACAGCACAAATATAAGCATTTCATTTACTATCCAAGACCACCAGTGAGCCTTCACAAGTCTTCTGAGTTTATATATGTAGCGTTGATGATGGTAAAATAATGGTCAATCTGAAAAAAAAAGTTTTCTTTTGGGACTACTTTCCCTTAGAACACCTTTCATGTATCCCTCCACCAGGAATTAGTTAAAATAAATTAATTAAAATACTTTTTAGACCAAAACTTTGTCACAAAACTATTATAAAACAACGTCTCTATAGCGGCACTATATTTATAACCATTTCATGTAATAACTTCTACAGATGTCTGGTTCCTATCACAACGACTGTGACCAGTTCTGTTTCTGTGAGTTTCTCTACAACAAAGCATTTCACATGTGACATGTTAAACATTTAATTATGCAGAAATTTTGAACAATTGGTGGAGTTCCTCTTTAAATCAAAACGCTTTAGATCAGTAATGATACCACTGACGTTACACCAGTGACAGTTTTTAAAATGCGGCTCATTATTTGTATTACAGTTTAAACGTGTAATGTAACAAATCCAGGAAACTCATAAAATCATTTAGACTGTTCATAAAAAACATAAATGTTAATATTTGTCTCTTCCACAAAAGTATCGAATAAATCATAAAATCAAAAATCTAATAAAACTAATTAATGAACCTATATTCTGAAAATAATACTGATTAAAAAACTGCACATCCTGAGTAGACATCAGTAACATCACAGAGAGAACATTTGATAAAGATAGTAAATAGTAAAATTACGCCACTACAGCTCAGTCACAGCTACAGTGATATTGCCACAGGAAACTGTTCAAAACAGAGAGGCCTTCATACCATCAGCTAACAATCTTTGTCCCATTCAGCAAAGCACAGATTTAGTTTTGGCCATCATTTTATTACAAGTGTAATCAATGTCAGTGGCATTAAATGTGAAGCCATAACACCACTGACCACAACACCACTGACAAAATGACTCAGATCTGAGCTTTTCTACAGAGTAGACATTTTAGTTTCAAAGTCATGTGCTATATGTGTATTTTCAAAAACTACATGCCTGTTATTTTGTTGTTTTATTTACATTTTACACTTTATTTTGCATGAGTAACACCACTGACAGAAATATTTTGTGATACATGAAATCATGAAGTTAGTATTTAACCTGATTGCTCAGAATTACTGGAAGAGATCTCGCTGACCATGCTCTTCTCTGTGTTAATGGTTTTTCTTGTGAGCTTTCTGTCCATCCATGAAGTTTAAAAAGACTCAAAAAGATTCTTCTTATCATTGCAACACCGCTGACAAAAAATCTTGGAACTCGGTTTATCATCATAATAAAACTATAGTTATAAAATGATCATACATGGCAGACAATCATGTTAATACATTTTAAAACCACTACATGAAAAATAAAAATGAAAATGATTGTATTATATTGTATTGTAATTTGGGAACTGTAAACTCACTGCTGTGACCTGCTGTATCTCATGCAAAAGATAACTACAATCAAAGTTCAAGAATAAATTTTTTATTTTTGGTTAATTTAACAAAATAAACAATTATTATCCATCTGTTTTTATGCTGAATCATTTTTATGGCTTCAGAACAGACTCAATGCAAAGGTGTCATGACAGTTTTGTCTAGTTCCTTCCTGCCTTCTTCCTGATTCTTTTCTGCTGGCATGCTCAGTGATGTTGCCAGATGGGACCTTTCTACACAGCGTTGTCTTGTTTTTTGAAGAATCCTGTATGTCAGGAGAAAAACGTTTTTCAGTTTTTGACATAATTTGAAAATGCTTGTTTCTCTTTACATAATGTATAAATTTCACAATGAATGGACCAAAAAAAAAAAACAGCCCAAAATGACTTTAAAAAGTCTGGTTCCATTGACTTACATTAAAAGTAAAGTAAGTTTTTTTCTTCTCCTGTAAAGTTACCATTTTGGGGATGCAAGGTTTTGTTTTCCAACAACAGTGATATGTTTATGATGCAAAAATGTATCTGTGCCTGCTACATTTAATTATAACAACAATTAATTACTGCAGTTCAGCAGATCAGAAACAAATGAGTCATGCATAACTTCAGCTTTATGTGGAATGCAGTGCAGTTTATGTAACACGTTTTAGGCTGAAATGTTTGCATGGCATTTTCTCAACTGTTGGACAGCATAAAATGGAAGAGGATGATAGTGATGAGTGGTTTAGACGGTCCTATTCACAGCTTGGCAAAGCTGATTGAACAGACATATGTAAGAGTCCATATGTGTAGATGATAAGCTCAGTGTTTGTAGTGTACAGGATAATGTCAAGAGGGAAGTGTGGGAAGTAAATAAAGAGAAGATTATGAAAACTCGGGTGTGTTTCCGTCTTCAGGCTTCACTGAGCTTTTTACTCGTGCAATCTGGCAACCCATCCCTTTAAAACATTTCTTCGTGACTCTACTTACTTTCAGTTTCGGCTCACCACAGTTTCTGTCTGCCAACTGCTAAGGCATTAATCGATAGGAAATCAATATGAGGTTACTAATGAAATAATGGGTGAGTCATCGCTTATCCACATTTACATTCAACAGAGTTTTTAAAATGTAAGTACCTTGTTTTGTCAGTGCAATAGAGAGAAGTCAAGAGCAAGTTGTCAGCTTAGAAAAAGCAACAGCATGGATGCTGCTGAACGAAGAGCAAGAATAACAGCAAGTACTGAAACAAGCCAAGATAGGACTATAATTATAGTCCTTATAGTTAACTACAGTTATTTTATTTATATTTATTATATTAATAGTCGTTATAGTCCTTTAGCTTTTTCTTTTTTTTTTTTACTTGCGATGTGGCAAAAGAGACATTGGAAAGACGAGACATTCTTAGACTAGAGATTCAGATTTACCTCTTTGGCACACCTTGAAGATTCGTATAGCTGGTCATCTACTGCACTTCAGTGCAAACATTAAAATGGTGGTGTAAATCAAGACCAATGTACAAAAGTCCACATTTGTGCTGCAAAAGTGGGAAAAAAACAGCACTGATATCAGACTCTCTTTATCAGGTCTGTATTTTATATTCTCTGCAACTGGACTCTCTGTACTCGTCAGAGTAGACTGGCTATTATGCCGGGCTAATGTACACTTTCAATAACAGGAAGAGTATTTTTTTTGTCATAGGACACACACACACACACACACACACACACACACACACACACACACACTGCATGAAGAAGCCGGTGCATGATGTCACACATAACAGGAAGAAGCCACAAGCTACAGCCTACAAAGAGAACATATTAGCAAATCTGAAAGAAATAGTTACTAATATGTGGTGCTTTACGTTGTGATTTTATGAGGTTCAATTCTGAAAGCTTATTATGTGAATCTTATTGAATTATTCAGCCTACAACATGGAAGTAAGCATTGCAAAGATGCTGGAGAAAAGCGTGATTCTGAAAATTACAGTTAAAAAAATGATTTGTTCATCACTAATGCATAACAACCTTTCTTTTTGGGAAGCAGTAACAAACTGTGAGGGAATAAAACCTGTCTTACCTGCTAGTGTTTGGACCCCTAAAAGCTCCCACTCCCAATAGGTGGCCCTAATAATTCATTTATAATGCATTTGGTCGTACAGAGCAGGTCTGGAGCATCCCGTGAGTTTTATGGGTGTGCACCCAGGGGTCTGAGAAAGCATTTGTGGCAAAATCTGAACAGCTACTTTGACTCATGGTGGGGCCAAAGATTCATGAAGAGCACTGTCTACATAGCAGCACAGCTACTAATTTAAACCTCGACAGATTAGAAGATACTTTTTTTTAAAGTCAAACACAAAAAACACAAAACATATCAGCATCAGTGTTCTGTGAATAAAGCTGTCAAAGGTAAGATATAAATGGTACATAAACAATTTTCATGCTCGCCATGGCAGTATGCTGTAGCCTGGAAGATTTTGAAGTTTGCTGGTGTTATTCCTCATCTTTGTTGTTACATCTTAGCTGTTCGGCACAGTGCATTTAGAAACTGCACTATCAAGCAACTGACTATTGTTTTTATGCAATCAGGACAGATCAACACTGTCTCTTCTGGACAAAACAGACAAGAAAATGTTAATAGTATGCAACACATAATGCAAACTGTTTAGATTCCAATGTTTATATTTATTGGCTAGTTCAGATGAACACAGTTTAAATGTAATTTTAAATATATTATAAATAATTTAACTTTACATTAGGCTACAATATATAATTTAAGATGTTTGTTTCTAAATCAGTTTAAGTGAACAGGCTAACTGAATTAAAAGATACATGAATACTCACAGGCCTTAAGACACAGCCCAGCACCATGGTTAATATGTTGACATTGTTGTGCTGCACATACATCTTATATAACATCCGAGATGTAATGATAAAAGAAACATGCACACACACAAAAAAAATGTTCCAGATAGCAGCAGACAGAAAACTGAGCACAGGAGCCTGGTACTTAATGATTTGGGTCTGGTACACAGTTCTTATTAACAGTAATTTGATTCTTTATTTTAGTGTATAAAACAGCTTGTCTTGCATTCTGTTGCATGTTTTTAGACATACTGTGTTTTTAAATTTGTGAATTAAAAGTTTGTAACTACTTTTCTTAACAGAGAGTAAAGAGGGGTCACACGCACTGTCTCTGGAACCTCCTACCATTAAAGTAACTGGGCCAGGACAAAGGTCACCTTGCAGCTCTGCATATGACTGTTCAGATTCACTTTTTCAATGTGAAAACTCAGAAAGCAAGACAACCCCACATGACAGTGAGTATCATTAATATATGATGAGATTCAGTTTAATTATTTGATGCAAAAGTTCAGGCACCCCAGGTCAAATGACACTGCAAAAACTGATATCTTAGCAAGGGAAATTTTAAGATTCTTAAACTTATTTCTAGACATTTTTTGTTTGATTCAGATGATGTTGTTTGTTGTAAGAAAAATGCTTAAAACAAGCAATCTCATCTGCCAGTATAGTATGATGATGATTTTACTGACATAAAACAAATAAAAATGCTTAATTAAAAAATAGTCAGTAAATAATTTTAAATAACCTTAGATAAGGCTACAGCAATCTCAAAATGAGGAATATGATTTATCTATTTATTTATAATATATTTTTTTGCAGTGAATTGTACTGATTTTCTAAGAGAAGATAAGTTAACACATCCTCTACAGAGAACTCGTCTGGTGACTCACCACATCATTGTTTTTTAAATCAATACAGCCATAAAAATGGATGTAAAAATACCAGATTTTTTAAATATCACAAGTGTCCAGCGTAGAGTTCTCCTTTAGCAGCTGTAGCCAGTCAGCAGCCTGTCCATGTTGTCCACACACACACACACACACACACATACACACACCCACACACTAACAGCCGGCCATGTAGGAGAATAGAGTGAAGGAGCACACCAGTTAACTCGTCCCTCATTTTTTGAGATATCAACGCTGTTGAAACCCTAGATTGTCCGGTCTGAATATATGATGTGTGCTTGTATACAGCTTTTTGATCGGACGCACGGATTCCGTGTAGCAATGGAATTTTGCATATTTTTTCCCATAGGAATGAATGGGGTGAAAAATTGCATGACAATCTACTGTATCTCCTATCTGCAATTACGTCATTCAAGCTTTCAGTTTTTTAAGCAGCAAGCCAAAATTTCCTGTAAATGTACTTTAAGCTCCAGTTATGTAAAAGATATACCTGGGGGATCTGTAAAAGCAAGACCTGATACCTCGACAGAGTAGACCATACTTATTTCCAAAGTCAAACACAAAAGCCACAAAACATAGCAGCAGCAGTGTTCTGTGAATAAAGGCATCAAAGGTAAGATACAAACAGTGCATAAATATTTTTCATGCCCGCCATGGCAGTGTACTGTAGCCTGGAATGCTTGATATTTAGATATTGAGATTTGTTTGTGTATAAACAGTAATTTGATATTCCCTGGTCATTATTTTAGTGTATAAAACAGCTTGTCTTGCATTCTGTTGTATGTTTTTAGAAATACTGTGTTTTTAAATTTGTGAATTAAAAATATGTAACTACTTTTCTTAACAGAGAGTAAAGAGGGGTCACACGCACTGTCTCTGGAACTTCCTACCAATAAAGTAACTGGGTCAGGACAAGGGTCACCTTGCAGCTCTGGATATGACTCTTCAGATTCACTTTTTCAATGTGAAAACTCAGAAAGCAAGACAACCCCACATGATAGTAAGTATCATTAATATATGATGAGATTCAGTTTAATTATTTGTATGCAAAAGTTCAGGCACCCCAGGTCAAATGACACTGCAAAAAATGATATCTTAGCAAGTGAAAATTTTAACATTCTTAAACTTATTTCTAGACATTTTTTGTTTGATTCAGATGATGTTGCTTGTTGTAAGAAAAATGCTTAAAACAAGCAATCTCATCTGCCAGTATAGTATGATGATGATTTTACTTACTAAAATGACATTAAACAAATAAAAATGCTTAATTAAAAAATAGTCAGTAAATAATGTTAAAAACCTTAGATAAGGCTACAGCAAGCTCAAAATGAGGAATATGATTTATCTATTTATTTATAATATAATTTTTTTGCAGTGAATTGTACTGATTTTCTAAGAGAAAATAAGTTAACACATCCTCTACAGAGAACACACTTAACCCTTGTGTGGTGTTGGTGTGTTTGTTACTCAGTGGTCTGGTGACTCACCACATTATTGTTTTTTAAATCAATACAGCCATAAAAATGGATGTAAAAATACCAGATGTTTAAAATATCACAAGTGTCCAGCGTAGAGTTCTCCTTTAGCAGCTGTAGCCAGTCAGCAGCCTGTCCATGTTGTCCACACACACACACACACACACACACATACACACACACACAAACACTAACAGCCGGCCATGTAGGAGAACAGAGCGAAGGAACACACCAGTTAACTCGTCCCTCATTTTTTGAGATATCAACGCTGTTGAAACCCTAGATTGTCCGGTCTGAATATATGATGTGTGCTTGTATACAGCTTTTTGATCGGACGCACGGATTCCGTGTAGCAATGGAATTTTGCATATTTTTTCCCATAGGAATGAATGGGGTGAAAAATTGCATGACAATCTACTGTATCTCCTATCTGCAATTACGTCATTCAAGCTTTCAGTTTTTTAAGCAGCAAGCCAAAGTTTCCTGTAAATGTACTTTAAGCTCCAGTTATGTAAAAGATATACCTGGGGGATCTGTAAAAGCAAGACCTGATACCTCGACAGAGTAGACCATACTTATTTCCAAAGTCAAACACAAAAACCACAAAACATAGCAGCAGCAGTGTTCTGTGAATAAAGGCATCAAAGGTAAGATACAAACAGTGAATAAACATTTTTCATGTCCGCCATGGCAGTGTACTGTAGCCTGGAATGCTTGATATTTAGATATTGAGATTCGTTTGTGTAATTACTCATGTTTGTTGTTACATCTCAGCTGTCCAGCACAGTGCATTTGGAAACTGAAACAACAGTAAGAATATCCAACAACTTACTGTTGTTTATATGCAACCAGGGCAGGTCAACACTGTCCTTTCTGGACAAAATGGATGAGAAAATGTATGCAAAATAAAATGCAACCTGTTTAGATTTCAATAATTATATGTATTGGCTAGTTCAGATGAACACAGTTTAAATGTAATTTTAAATATATTATAAATAATTTAACTTTACATTAGGCTACAATATATAATTCAAGATGCTTGTTTCTAAAACCGTTTAAGTGAACAGGCTAACTGAATTAAACATACATGAATACACACAGGCCTTAAGACACAGCCCAGCACCATGGTTAATATTCTGGCATTGTGGTGCTGCACATCTTGTATAACATCTGTGATGTAATGAAAAAAAAAAAAAAATTTCCAGATAGCAGCAGACAGAAAACTGAGCACAGGAGCCTCGTATTTCATGATTTGGGACTGGTACACAGTTCTTATTAACAGTAATTTGATTTTCCTTCCTTCTTTATTTTAGTGTATAAAACAGCTTGTCTTGCATTCTGTTGCATGTTTTTAGACATACTGTGTTTTTAATTTTGTGAATTAAAAGTTTGTAACTACTTTTCTTAACAGAGAGTAAAGAGGGGTCACACGCACTGTCTCTGGAACCTCCTACCATTAAAGTAACTGGGCCAGGACAAAGGTCACCTTGCAGCTCTGCATATGACTCTCCAAAATCACTTTTTCAATGTGAAAACTCAGAAAGCAAGACAACCCCACATGACAGTGAGTATCATTAATATATGATGAGATTCAGTTTAATTATTTGTATGCAAAAGTTCAGGCACCCCAGGTCAAATGACACTGCAAAAAATGATATCTTAGCAAGTGAAAATTTTAAGATTCTTAAACTTATTTCTAGACATTTTTTGTTTGATTCAGATGATGTTGCTTGTTGTAAGAAAAATGCTTAAAAACAAGCAATCTCATCTGCCAGTATAGTATGATGATGATTTTACTTACTAAAATGACATAAAAATGCTTAATTAAAAAATAGTCAGTAAATAATGTTAAAAACCTTAGATAAGGCTACAGCAAGCTCAAAATGAGGAATATGATTTATCTATTTATTTATAATATAATTTTTTTGCAGTGAATTGTACTGATTTTCTAAGAGAAAATAAGTTAACACATCCTCTACAGAGAACACACTTAACCCTTGTGTGGTGTTGGTGTGTTTGTTACTCAGTGGTCTGGTGACTCACCACATTATTGTTTTTTAAATCAATACAGCCATAAAAATGGATGTAAAAATACCAGATGTTTAAAATATCACAAGTGTCCAGCGTAGAGTTCTCCTTTAGCAGCTGTAGCCAGTCAGCAGCCTGTCCATGTTGTCCACACACACACACACACACACACACATACACACACACACAAACACTAACAGCCGGCCATGTAGGAGAACAGAGCGAAGGAACACACCAGTTAACTCGTCCCTCATTTTTTGAGATATCAACGCTGTTGAAACCCTAGATTGTCCGGTCTTAATATGTGATGCGTGCTTGTATACAGCTTTTTGATCGGACGCACCGATTCCGTGTAGCAATGGAATTTTGCATATTTTTTCCCATAGGAATGAATGGGGTGAAAAATTGCATGACAATCTACTGTATCTCCTATCTGCAATTACGTCATTCAAGCTTTCAGTTTTTTAAGCAGCAAGCCAAAATTTCCTGTAAATGTACTTTAAGCTCCAGTTATGTAAAAGATATACCTGGGGGATCTGTAAAAGCAAGACCTGATACCTCGACAGAGTAGACCATACTTATTTCCAAAGTCAAACACAAAAACCACAAAACATAGCAGCAGCAGTGTTCTGTGAATAAAGGCATCAAAGGTAAGATACAAACGATGCATAAATATTTTTCATGCCCGCCATGGCAGTGTACTGTAGCCTGGAATGCTTGATATTTAGATATTGAGATTTGTTTGTGTATAAACAGTAATTTGATATTCCCTGGTCATTATTTTAGTGTATAAAACAGCTTGTCTTGCATTCTGTTGTATGTTTTTAGAAATTCTGTGTTTTTAAATTTGTGAATTAAAAGTTTGTAACTACTTTTCTTAACAGAGAGTAAAGAGGGGTCACACGCACTGTCTCTGGAACTTCCTACCAATAAAGTAACTGGGTCAGGACAAGGGTCACCTTGCAGCTCTGGATATGACTCTTCAGATTCACTTTTTCAATGTGAAAATTCAGAAAGCAAGACAACCCCACATGATAGTGAGTATCATTAATATATGATGAGATTCAGTTTAATTATTTGTATGCAAAAGTTCAGGCACCCCAGGTCAAATGACACTGCAAAAAATGATATCTTAGCAAGGGAAATTTTAACATTCTTAAACTTATTTCTAGACATTTTTTGTTTGATTCAGATGATGTTGCTTGTTGTAAGAAAAATGCTTAAAACAAGCAATCTCATCTGCCAGTATAGTATGATGATGATTTTACTTACTAAAATGACGTTAAACAAATAAAAATGCTTAATTAAAAAATAGTCCGTAAATAATGTTAAAAACCTTAAATAATTCTACAACAGTCTCAAAATGAGAAATATGATTTATCTATTTATTTATAATATAATTTTTTTTTAATTGTTTAAAATATCACAAGTGTCCAGCGTAGGGTTCTTTTTTAGCAGCTGTAGCCAGTCAGCAGCCTGTCCATGTTGTCCACACACACACACACACACACACACACATACACACACACACACACTAACAGCAGGCCATGTAGGAGAATAGAGTGAAGGAGCACACCAGTTAACTCGTCCCTCATTTTTTGAGATATCAACGCTGTTGAAACCCTAGATTGTCCGGTCTGAATATGTGATGCGTGCTTGTATACAGCTTTTTGATCGGACGCACCGATTCTGTGTAGCAATGGAATTTTGCATATTTTTTCCCATAGGAATGAATGGGGTGAAAAATTGCATGACAATCTACTGTATCTCCTATCTGCAATTACGTCATTCAAGCTTTCAGTTTTTTAAGCAGCAAGCCAAAATTTCCTGTAAATGTACTTTAAGCTCCAGTTATGTAAAAGATATACCTGGGGGATCTGTAAAAGCAAGACCTGATACCTTGACAGAGTAGACCATACTTATTTCCAAAGTCAAACACAAAAACCACAAAACATAGCAGCTGCAGTGTTCTGTGAATAAAGGCATCAAAGGTAAGATACAAACGGTGCATAAACATTTTTCATGTCCGCCATGGCAGTGTACTGTAGCCTGGAATGCTTGATATTTAGATTTTGAGATTTGTTTGTGTAATTACTCATGTTTGTTGTTACATCTCAGCTGTCCAGCACAGTGCATTTGGAAACTGAAACAACAGTAAGAATATCCAACAACTTACTGTTGTTTATATGCAACCAGGGCAGGTCAACACTGTCCTTTCTGGACAAAATGGATGAGAAAATGTATGCAAAATAAAATGCAACCTGTTTAGATGTCAATAATTATATGTATTGGCTAGTTCAGATGAACACAGTTTAAATGTAATTTTAAATATATTATAAATAATTTAACTTTACATTAGGCTACAATATATAATTCAAGATGCTTGTTTCTAAAACCGTTTAAGTGAACAATTATAAACAGTAATTTGATATTCATTTGGCACCCCAGGTCAAATGACACTGCAAAAAATGATATCTTAGCAAGTGAAAATTTTAAGATTCTTAAACTTATTTCTAGACATTTTTTGTTTGATTCAGATGATGTCGCTTGTTGTAAGAAAAATGCTTAAAAACAAGCAATCTCACCTGCCAGTATAGTATGATGATGATTTTACTTACTAAAATGACATAAAACAAATAAAAATGCTTAATTAAAAAATAGTCACTAAATAATGTTAAAAACTTTAGATAATTCTAGAACAATCTCAAAATGAGGAATATTATTTATCTATTTATTTATAACATATTTTTTTGCAGTGAATTGTACTGATTTTCTTAGAGAAAATAAGTTAACACATCCTCTACAGAGAACACATTTAACCCTGGTGTGGTGTTGGTGTGTTTGTTACTCAGTGGTCTGGTGACCCACCACATTATTGTTTTTTAAATCAATACAGCCTAAAATTTTTTTTGTAAAAATACCAGTTTTTAAATTTGTGAATTAAAAGTATGTAACCTTTTTTTCTTAACAGAGAGTAAAGAGGGGTCACACGCACTGTCTCTGGAACTTCCTACCAATAAAGTAACTGGGTCAGGACAAGGGTCACCTTGCAGCTCTGGATATGACTCTTCAGATTCACTTTTTCAATGTGAAAACTCAGAAAGCAAGACAACCCCACATGATAGTGAGTATCATTAATATATGATGAGATTCAGTTTAATTATTTGTATGCAAAAGTTCAGGCACCCCAGGTCAAATGACACTGCAAAAAATGATATCTTAGCAAGTGAAAATTTTAAGATTCTTAAACTTATTTCTAGACATTTTTTGTTTGATTCAGATGATGTTGCTTGTTGTAAGAAAAATGCTTAAAACAAGCAATCTCATCTGCCAGTATAGTATGATGATGATTTTACTTACTAAAATGACATTAAACAAATAAAAATGCTTAATTAAAAAATAGTCCGTAAATAATGTTAAAAACCTTAAATAATTCTACAACAGTCTCAAAATGAGGAATATTATTTATCTATTTATTTATAATATAATTTTTTTTTAATTGTTTAAAATATCACAAGTGTCCAGCGTAGGGTTCTTTTTTAGCAGCTGTAGCCAGTCAGCAGCCTGTCCATGTTGTCCACACACACACACACACACACACACACATACACACACACACACACACTAACAGCAGGCCATGTAGGAGAATAGAGTGAAGGAGCACACCAGTTAACTCGTCCCTCATTTTTTGAGATATCAACACTGTTGAAACCCTAGATTGTCCGGTCTTAATATGTGATGCGTGCTTGTATACAGCTTTTTGATCAGACGCACGGATTCCGTGTAGCAATGGAATTTTGCATATTTTTTCCCATAGGAATGAATGGGGTGAAAAATTGCATGACAATCTACTGTATCTCCTATCTGCAATTACGTCATTCAAGCTTTCAGTTTTTTAAGCAGCAAGCCAAAATTTCCTGTAAATGTACTTTAAGCTCCAGTTATGTAAAAGATATACCTGGGGGATCTGTAAAAGCAAGACCTGATACCTCGACAGAGTAGACCATACTTATTTCCAAAGTCAAACACAAAAACCACAAAACATAGCAGCAGCAGTGTTCTGTGAATAAAGGCATCAAAGGTAAGATACAAACGGTGCATAAACATTTTTCATGTCCGCCATGGCAGTGTACTGTAGCCTGGAATGCTTGATATTTAGATTTTGAGATTTGTTTGTGTAATTACTCATGTTTGTTGTTACATCTCAGCTGTCCAGCACAGTGCATTTGGAAGCTGAAACAACAGTAAGAATATCCAACAACTTACTGTTGTTTATATGCAACCAGGGCAGGTCAACACTGTCCTTTCTGGACAAAATGGATGAGAAAATGTATGCAAAATAAAATGCAACCTGTTTAGATTTCAATAATTATATGTATTGGCTAGTTCAGATGAACACAGTTTAAATGTAATTTTAAATACATTATAAATAATTTAACTTTACATTAGGCCACAGTATATAATTCAAGATGCTTGTTTCTAAAACCGTTTAAGTGAACAATTATAAACATTAATTTGATATTCATTTGGCACCCCAGGTCAAATGACACTGCAAAAAATGATATCTTAGCAAGTGAAAATTTTAAGATTCTTAAACTTATTTCTAGACATTTTTTGTTTGATTCAGATGATGTTGCTTGTTGTAAGAAAAATGCTTAAAAACAAGCAATCTCATCTGCCAGTATAGTATGATGATGATTTTACTTACTAAAATGACATAAAAATGCTTAATTAAAAAATAGTCAGTAAATAATGTTAAAAACCTTAGATAAGGCTACAGCAAGCTCAAAATGAGGAATATGATTTATCTATTTATTTATAATATAATTTTTTTGCGGTGAATTGTACTGATTTTCTAAGAGAAAATAAGTTAACACATCCTCTACAGAGAACACATTTAACCCTGGTGTGGTGTTGGTGTGTTTGTTACTCAGTGGTCTGGTGACCCACCACATTATTGTTTTTTAAATCAATACAGCCTAAAATTTTTTTTGTAAAAATACCAGTTTTTAAATTTGTGAATTAAAAGTATGTAACCTTTTTTTCTTAACAGAGAGTAAAGAGGGGTCACACGCACTGTCTCTGGAACTTCCTACCATTAAAGTAACTGGGTCAGGACAAGGGTCACCTTGCAGCTCTGGATATGACTCTTCAGATTCACTTTTTCAATGTGAAAACTCAGAAAGCAAGACAACCCCACATGATAGTGAGTATCATTAATATATGATGAGATTCAGTTTAATTATTTGTATGCAAAAGTTCAGGCACCCCAGGTCAAATGACACTGCAAAAAATGATATCTTAGCAAGGGAAAATTTCAAGATTCTTAAACTTATTTCTAGACATTTTTTGTTTGATTCAGATTATGTTGCTTGTTGTAAGAAAAATGCTTAAAACAAGCAATCTCATCTGCCAGTATAGTATGATGATGATTTTACTTACTAAAATGACATTAAACAAATAAAAATGCTTAATTAAAAAATAGTCAGTAAATAATGTTAAAAACTTTAGATAATTCTAGAACAATCTCAAAATGAGGAATATTATTTATCTATTTATTTATAATATATATTTTTTTAATTGTTTAAAATATCACAAGTGTCCAGCATAGGGTTCTCTTTTAGCAGCTGTAGCCAGTCAGCAGCCTCTCCATGTTGTCCACCCTCACACACACACACACACACACACACACATACACACACACACACACACACTAACAGCCGGCCATGTAGGAGAATAGAGTGAAGGGACACACCAGTTAACTCGTCCCTCATTTTTTGAGATATCAACACTGTTGAAACCCTAGATTGTCCGGTCTTAATATGTGATGCGTGCTTGTATACAGCTTTTTGATCGGATGCACGGATTCCGTGTAGCAATGGAATTTTGCATATTTTTTCCCATAGGAATGAATGGGGTGAAAAATTGCATGACAATCTACTGTATCTCCTATCTGCAATTACGTCATTCAAGCTTTCAGTTTTTTAAGCAGCAAGCCAAAATTTCCTGTAAATGTACTTTAAGCTCCAGTTATGTAAAAGATATACCTGGGGGATCTGTAAAAGCAAGACCTGATACCTCGACAGAGTAGACCATACTTATTTCCAAAGTCAAACACAAAAACCACAAAACATAGCAGCAGCAGTGTTCTGTGAATAAAGGCATCAAAGGTAAGATACAAACGATGCATAAATATTTTTCATGTCCGCCATGGCAGTATGCTGTAGCCTGGAATGCTTGATATTTAGATATTGAGATTTGTTTGTGTAATTACTCATGTTTGTTGTTACATCTCAGCTGTCCAGCACAGTGCATTTGGAAGCTGAAACAACAGTAAGAATATCCAACAACTTACTGTTGTTTATATGCAACCAGGGCAGGTCAACACTGTCCTTTCTGGACAAAATGGATGAGAAAATGTATGCAAAATAAAATGCAACCTGTTTAGATTTCAATAATTATATGTATTGGCTAGTTCAGATGAACACAGTTTAAATGTAATTTTAAATATATTATAAATAATTTAACTTTACATTAGGCTACAATATATAATTCAAGATGCTTGTTTCTAAAACTGTTTAAGTGAACAATTATTAACAGTAATTTGATATTCCCTGGTCGTTATTTTAGTGTATAAAACAGCTTGTCTTGCATTCTGTTGCATGTTTTTGGAAATACTGTGTTTTTAAATTTGTGAATTAAAAGTTTGTAACTACTTTTCTTAACAGAGAGTAAAGAGGGGTCACACGCACTGTCTCTGGAACTTCCTACCATTAAAGTAACTGGGCCAGGACAAGGGTCACCTTGCAGCTCTGGATATGACTCTTCAGATTCACTTTTTCAATGTGAAAACTCAGAAAGCAAGACAACCCCACATGACAGTGAGTATCATTAATATATGATGAGATTCTTAAACTTGTTCCTAAACATTTTTTGTTTGATTTAGATGATGTCGCTTGTTGTAAGAAAAATGCTTAAAAACAAGCAGTCTCATCTGCCAGTATAGTATGATGATGATTTTACTTATTAAAATGACATAAAACAAATAAAAATGCTTAATTAAAAATAGTCAGTAAATAATGTTAAAAACCTTAGATAAGGCTACAAACAATCTCAAAATGAGGAATATTATTTATCTATTTATTTATAATATAATTTTTTTGCAGTGAATTGTACTGATTTTCTAAGAGAAAATAAGTTAACACATCCTCTACAGAGAACACACTTAACCCTTGTTGGTGTGTTTGTTACTCACCACATCATTGTTTTTTAAATCAATACAGCCATAAAAATGGATGTAAAAATACCAGATGTTTACTCATCCCTCATTTTTTGAGATACCAACACTGTTGAAACCCTAGATTGTCCGGTCTGAATATCTGATGCATGCTTGTATACAGCTTTTTGATCGGATGCACAGATTCCGTGTAGCAATGGAATTTTGCATATTTTTTCCCATAGGAATGAATGGGGTGAAAAACTGCATGACCATCTACTGTACTTCTGCTTGACCGAAAGACACCGTTTCACATGTACTATCTCTGGGCAGGCCCCTAAGCACAAATTCAATGTCATTCTGACCTGCACTCATCCGTTTGTCTTTTTTTCCATCCCTCGTTTCTCCGATAGACAATCATTTTTGCCACCACATAAACTCCATTACTTCTTTGCCCTACAGCCACCAAACTACATGTCCTCACTCAGGGCAGGTCCTCAAGCTCTAATCCACAGCCATACTGACCGACACTGCTTTATGTGTCGTTTTTTCCCATTCATCCCATTCATTTTCGCTTCCAACAAAGCCCTCATCTTTCTTTTTCCTGACAGCCACCAAAGTACAAGTACTTACTCAGGGCAGGTCCCCAAGCTCTAATCCACAGCCATACTGACCTGCACTCCTCTGTGTTGTTTTTTTCATCCTTCCTCTCATACACTCCCACTGATTTTTAACAACACATAGCTACCAGTTATCAACTCCCTATGAACTTAAGAGACATCTCATACCATATAGCAACCACCTCAGATACCATGGCAACCACCTAGCAATTCCTTAGCAACTACCTGGGACACTGTAGCAACCGTGTGCCAACCACCAGGGATACAATACCAAACCCCTAGCAGCACCGTAGTAACCACCTGTGCTACCTTAGCAACTATCTAGCAACACCATAAGCAACCACCTTGGATACCATAGCAACCACCTAGCAACCTAGCAGGAAGTGGGAACCATTTAAGCTGCACTATGTTTCCTTTAGGAAATGCATGTTTCTAGTTGAACCTGTTGTATTGGGTCTGGGCAGGGTGACAGACTGGTGTAGTTCATAGGGAACAGGACCTTTCCCGTTCTGGCCCTGTGAGTGGGTAACTACGCTGGGCCTTGAGGAGCCGTCACCTCCCGTCTGGCCCAGAGGAGGAGTGGGAAGCACCTGGGCCGAAGGGCACGCTGACCAGGACAGTAAACGTTCTGAGCCCTCAGCTGCGGGCAATGCATGCTTAAAGGACTTTGTTTGAGCAATGTGGGTTACCTGGATGGCTGATGTTTGAAGGGTGGTGCAATGTGGTGAATGTCTCGCCTGTTCTGTTTAAATAAATGAAAAAAAGCATTTTATTTATTTATTTATTCATTCATTCAATTCATTTAATTTCATTTCATTCTTAGTTTCAGTTTGTATACAGACCCTTAGTTTGAACAGGCTATGTGGGCTTTGCGCTGTGTTTTTAGCCGAGCAAGCTTGTGCTTTTGTGAGGGGCCAGCCTCAGTAGGAGCAAACCAACTATCACTGTTGTTCTCCTTTTTCTTTAAGTGCCTTTTCTGTTTGTTTGTTTGAGCCTCCTGAGCAGAATTATGACATTCTCTAATTCTTCTCCTTCACCATGATGTCACGATATACTGAACATGCATATGGATATGTCTGCATGAAAACAGCATCGTGGTTATTACTTTAGTGATGAATACTATGAAATAACTGTTTGGAGATTTCCAGTGAAACTCCATCCTTCCCCTAAAGTCTAATTATAAGACTACAGAATTCTTCTTCATGCTAATTTCTAATACTAATTTGCCGTCTTGTTAAGATTACCTTTCCCAACACCACCATCACATGTTATTAGAATTAATGAATTTTTATTGTCCTGCACTATAACTATAACTAATCTCCACCTTATATTCCCAGGGAGTGAAGAGGTGTTATTCAAACAAGTATTTTCTCAAAGGTCTGGAATCTATTTAACAGTCACTCCTGACTTTGCACTGACAAAAAAGAGTAAAAGCATTGAGATTCCACCAACAAGTGAGTATCACAAATATATTCTATTGAAATATTGTTTGCTTTATTTACAACCCCATTTCCAAGAAAGTTGGGACACGGTGCAAAATGCAAATAAAAACAAAATGCAATGATGTGCAAATCATTGAAAGCATATATTTCATTGAAAATAGTACAAAGACAACATATCAAATGTTAAAACTGATCAATTTTATTGTTTTTTGAAAAATATTTGCCCATTTTGACGTTGATGCCAACAACACGTTTCAAAAAAGTTGGGACGGGGGCATGATTGGGTATAAAAAGAGCATCTCAGAGAAGCTGAGTCTTTCAGAAGATGAGGAGGGGTTCACCACTCTGTGAAAGAGAATGGCGCAACAATTTGAGAATAACTTTTCTCAACATAAAATAGCAAAGAACTTTTGCTTTTCATCATCTACGGTACATAATATCATTAAAAGATTCAGAGAATCTGGAGAAATCTCTGTATTTAAGAGACAAGGCCGAAAACCAGTATTTGCTGGCCATGATTTTGGGCCCTCAGGCAGCACTGCATTCTGTAGTGGAAATCACTGCATGGGCTCAGAAACACTTCTGAAAACCACTGTCTGTGAACACAGTTTGTCGCTGCACCTACAAATGCAAGTTAAAACTCTAAAACGCAAAGAAGAAGCCATATATAACAGGATCCAGAAACGCTGCCACCTTCTCTGAGCCCAAGCTCATTTAAAATGGACTGAGGGGAAGTGGAGAAGTGTCCTGTGGTCCGACGAATCAACATTTGAAATTATTTTTGGAAATCATGGACACTGTGTCCTCTGGTCTAAAGACCACTCATCTTGTTATCAGTGCACAGTTCAAAAGCCAGTATTCATGATGTTATAGAGGTGCATTAGTGCACATGGCACGGGTGACTTGCACATCTGTGAAGGCACCATTAATGCTGAACAATATTTTCTGGCAACATATGCTGCCATTCAGACAATGTCTTTTTCAGGGAAGGTCTTGATTATTTCAGCAAGATAATGTCAAACCACATTCTGCATGTATTACAACAGCATTGCTCTGTAGTAAAAGAGTCCGGGGGCTAAATTGACCTGCCTGCAGTCCAGACCTGTCACCACTGAAAACATTTGGCACATTATGAAATGAAAAACACAACAAAGGAGACCCTGAATTGTTGAGCAGCTAAAATCCTATGTTAAGTAAGAATGGGAAAACATTTCACTTTAAAAACTACAGTAATTGGTCTTCTCATTTCCTCATTTCAACTTTTTTAGAACATGTTGTTGGCATCAAATTCAAAATGGGCATATATTTTTCAAAAACGATAAAATTTCTCAGTTTCAACATTTGATTTGTTACTATTTTCAAAGAAATATTTGGTTTAAATGATTTGCACATCGTTGCATTTTGTTTTTATTTACATTTTGCACATTTTGCGAAATGTAAATATTTTGTCCCAACTTTTTTGGAAATACATTAAACCCATACTTGTTTACAAATGACTTTTTAATTTTTTTATGATATTTTTAATTATATTTTTTAAAAAAGAAAATACATTTCTAATGTCAGACCTTATTAAGCCCCACAGTATATTCATAATAAAATATTAAACACAGTGCGCTCTGTATGCAGCATTATATTTGACAGTATGAAGACGGAATGTTCTAGGGTGTTATTTTAATCCGGCGAGCCAATGATGGAGCAAGTTTGTCCAAAAGCATATATTACCATGGTAACTGAGCAGGGCTTAAGATTAGCATTTTCTGTGGAACCAAAATTGATAAAAATTAGCTGGGCTTACTGAAAAAAAGCCAGGCTTTATTATTGAGTTAGCTTACTTTGTGGAATACCCCCCTGGAAAGAATAAAATCTGAAACAAAAACAAAGCGCTTTAGTTTTATTAACACAGTAGAATGATGTGGCTGTGAAATGCTAAGGTTGCTAAATATTTATAATCAAATGTATATGCACTTCTGTCAGATGTGAGTTTGATCATACATATGCCAAAAATTAAACTGATGAATAACAAAATTGTGAGTGAAATTTGCGTGCACTCGTTTGATTAGATTGGACCGTATGCAACTTTAATGTATTAAGGCCATTTTGTCTTAATCTGAAGCTTTTTCTTTTTTCATCCACCTTCTCTTCCAGTTGGTGAAATTAAGAAACCAGATGAATGCTTGCTAAGTTTGTTACAAACACAATTGTGTCACTCTGAAAAAGCAAACAGTAAGTATCATTAACAAACGCTGTTAAGACAATGCTTGTTTATGCAACCATGCAATGAACAAGGTGAGCAAAGGCGCATGTTCGAGACAGTTTTATAGTGGTACAGCTGAGGGTGTATCTCAGCATAACATTCCCAGCTCAGGAGACAAGTAGGCATGTATGTAGTCCAACAAAGTAGAAAAAATAAAAACTTGAAACAAACTATGACACAAACCAATAACTAAACAACGGAACACAACAGAACAGAGCAGACACATCAAAAAAGAAAGCTACAAACAGAGAACAATATGATGGTGGTAATGAGTCCAGAAAATGAGTTGCAGGTGTACTAAATGAATGGGTGGACATAAGCTGGGAAAGAAAAACAGAAGCACATGGCCTAACCATGAGCATTAACACACAGGCCCAGGAGGAGGAGTTTGTGATAAACTCAGTAAGAGTATACACCAGGGGTCTTTAATTAAAATTAAATAAGATCCAGTTAGAGAAAATTTCCTCAAGCAAAGGTCCAGAACATCATAATGTCTAACTTGCATCATGATTCAGTGCCATAGACTGTCTACTGAAGTAGCCTAGTAGTTATATCAACATCTTATACAGTCAACAACTAAATGTCAAATCAAATAAGTACAATTCAGTAACATTTCAACAATATTTATCATCAGTTTTCTCTTTTTAGAACACAACATGTGAAATAACTTCCCTCTGACTCACTTTCTTCTCTGACTGCTGTTTCTCGCCTCGTCCCTCCCCTGTGTGCGCATCACTCACTCGAGTCTCGGTGCTCATCGTAATGCACAGACCTGATTGGCTGAGTAACGTCACGTATGATATTTACAACGCATGCAATTGGTCTGTGAGTTTCCCGGGCCCCTAAAGCGCTACCGTAATGACTAGAAAAGCTACGCCGATTAAAACAGTAAAACAAATTAAATAATTCTCTATAGTTTATCGGTTGTAGGTCCAGGTCCGCATAAGACAGCGTCTGGGTCCGGACTCGGACCGCGGTCCGCCTATTAGTGACCGCTGGTATACACTGATCAGCCATAATTTTAAAACCGCCTGCTTGTATCTATACTCATTGTTCATTTTATCAGCTCCACTTACCACAGAGACATAATTGCACTCAACATTAATATATCGCTGTTGTCGGAAGAAAACCTTGTATCTCCAAAACGATAACTTTACAGGAGAATGAAAAAACATACTTTACTTTAAATGTAAGTCAATGGAACAAGACTTTTTTCCAAGTCATTTTGGGTCATTTCTTTTTGTCATGGTATTAATTTCTTTACTTAATTAGCATGCTCTAATCATAACTTCTTTTCACCTGTCTCTCTCTCCACAGGTTGCCCCGCCCGGATCATCAAGATCCCTTCTGGAACCAGAAAGGAATGTGATCACCTAGGCTCTCACTCCTGTAGTGGCATCACAACAGGTAAGTACACATTCAGTATTTACAATGTCCAATCTTCATACGCATGTTCCTATCAGTCTTTAACAGTCTCTTAAGGTGAGGTACATCAAAACAGTCTGCCTGACATCATCACAAACATCCCTAATTATCAGTAGTTTAGTGGTGCATATACAGACAGGACTGTTTTTCTTGCAGAATTGTGCATACGTCTTGTTCACTGCAGGTGTATGTCAAATATCACTATTTTTATCTGAAAATCTTACATATAGTTCTTAACCCCTGATGCATGCATGCATTTTAAATTCTTTCCTACCAATGTCCACATTCTCCCTCCACAAAGACCCCAAACAAGCGTGCGAGAGCATCCTATACGATACTAGTTCCTGTCCCATGACTTTTGGCATGTCAGTGTATGTATATTATTATATATTATGTATATTTATTATCTGATATAACTGAGAATACTTCTCATCTCATTACATTTACTAAGGGGTTTAGGTGCTCTTCAGTGCTCTGCAATGCTGTGTAGATCTGTCCAGTTTATTTCTTCTTCTCTTTTCCACTACAGGAAGTATGGAAGATTCTACTAAAGATTCTGGACCGTAAGCTCATGAGATGGACGAGAGATAAAGCAAGATAAAGCCATTCAAAAGCTATGAATGCTTTATTTGAGAATCACTCAACCCCCTGCCTCCGTTTCTATACTCTGCCCTTTCACTTCACTCACTCAGATTTGACTTTTTAATCCTCTAAACTTGCCACAGTGAGACTTCAGCAATGTTGTGTGTAAAACTTAGACCTTCTCGCTAAGCTAATGCTAGCTTTCAGTGCTAACATTTAGCAGTGTGGCACATCTCACGTATGAACCCGGTGACACTGCTGTGGGATGAGAGAGCTGGGTCAACAGAGGAAGGAGCAACAAGCGCTCCCTCTCTTTCTCTCTCTCTCGGTTCAGGTGCCCATGTTGCCCTTTAAGACAGCCAGCTGATGCTTAACCTCAATAGCATGGGCTCAAACCACTATTTACAAACTATTTAGCATCATTGGTGCTTGGGGCTTTTTCTCTGGCCTCATGGCACAACTCATCAGCGCATGGCATATCCTCTCACTAGTGTATTTTAGTATATGTCACTCTATAATAAGCCATCCAAGAGGAGTTAACCATTTAAAACATACATTTTGAGTGCAGAAGGTCTTTAAAGCTATGCCATGAAAGATTTAGAGTTTGGAGACCTCTCTGGCAGAAATGTGTAATTGCAGGTGTTGAACATTTTGAGCATTATTTTAAATATCGAGCCGGATATTCTTTTGGAGTCTGTGCATGTTATGTTAATATGTAATGATGTATAGTGTTATCTGAAAAACACCCTTAAAATCCGACCCAATGCCTTTGACGTTTAAATGATTAATTCAGACTTTACAGGGCAACTCGCAGCAGCGCACACCATATTTTGTCATAGAATTTTTTCATCTATGAAATAAAAACGCGGGAACAGTTCCAGATTTTAACCATGGTGACTGCTGTACAGTAATAAACTATGGTGAAGGCCAACAGATAAAATTGGGTACAATTGAACAAGAGCCAGCCATTTGCCTCCAGCTTCCTGGATCAGTTGGACCTCCTTTGGGCTGTATACACCACCAAGACCCTACTGCCCTGTGAGACTGAGTGGTAGGGGTGGTTCCACAGCCTGGTCAGTACAGTCTGGGAGGAAAGACTGGAGTGACCAATGCCCACATGCTAAGCACTACAGCAAGGAGTGCACTCACACTGGCCCAGACTTCTGCTGCTGTTGTGTCTTCCATGCCACACCATCTGTGCTAGAGCTGTGGAGAACAACCTCCCCCCAGCACTGGCCCACATGCTCCCACAGCGATGCTGAGCAGCTATATATATATATATACAGCTTCAGAGTGTAGAGAGAGAGAGAATGTAATGTGTGTGTACATATGTGTATGTATAGACCTAAGATTAAATAAATTAATTAAACAACACATTTCTCTTATGATTTTATGGATTTTTCTCTTTTTATCATGTTTTAAAGTTGTTCTGCATATGCAAAACAGCTCCTTGCATAACCAAAACATTTTCAATACAAAACAATATTTTCAAAAGGTTTAACTTAAGAAATTGTATAAACAGATTCATGTTTGCTATATATATCATCAAGATTATACTACATTTTAGATTAGATTAGATTAGATAATCCTTTATTAATCCCACAACGGGGAAATTTGCGGTGTTACAGCAGCACAGAAGACAGAGCAGCAGGAAATATACAAACAATATATAAAATAGAATAAACAATAAAAGTATAAAGATATATATGTATATGTACAAAGATTACAAGAAAAATATACAAAGTATTAAATTTAAATTTAGAAATGTAGAAATGTATGTATTGTAGTGAGTATTGCACAGTGAATAAAATAGCAAATAAATAAAAAATAAATGGAGAAATATTGCACTTGACATAATTGCACATAATGGTGGTAAACATGTTGACAATGATCCGCAGTGAATATACTACGCATGGTGGATTGAGATATTGCACACAGTAAAGTGCTGTGGCAGTGATGTTGAGAGTTCTTGCACATGGAAAGTAATTGTAAACTACTGTCTACTGAGTGCCGTGACTGTTATAGAGTCTGACAGCGGCTGGGAGGAAGGACCTGCGGTATCTCTCCTTCACGCACCGTGGGTGCCGCAGCCGGGCACTGAAGGAGCTGCTCAGTACTGTCAGAGAGCGGTGCATGGGGTGGGACAGGTTCTTCAGCATGTTTGTTAGCTTAGTCCTCATTCTCCTGTCCCCCACCACCTCCACTGGGTCAAGAGGACATCCCAGGACAGAGCTGGACTTCCTGATGATCTTATTCAGTCTCTTCCTGTCAGCAATGGAGATGCTGCTGCCCCAGCACACCACTCCATAAAAAATGGCTGATGCCACCACAAAGAAGGTCCTGAGAAGTGCCCCCTGCACGCCAAAGGACCTGAGTCTCCTCATGAGATCTATGTGTTATTTAAAAAATGCATTTGTTACAGAGATTTTTGTTTCTGGTGTCATCACCACTTTATATTGCATTTTAACAAAGTATTTTCAGCTCTATTAAACTCATCTATTTAAACTCATCATATCTCAGTACAGGTGTATTTGTTTACAAGTGGATCTTAACCGCTCCAACATGGCAGATGTGCATTGAAAGCTTGTGTCCTTTCACAGTGCCTTGTAAATCTTCAGTGGGGAAAATCAAAACACAGAAAATGGGATAGTACGGGTTAAAATGTGTTTCACTCTGTTTCTTCACCCTTTGCCTAAAAACAACACCAGGCTAAGGAGGAACTACTGTCTGGGTTTTTTTGGGTTCTTTCACTTTCCAGTTGGCCGAGAAACGACAGAGAAACAGGTAAGAGAGTCGTTTTCCCATTATATTTGTGGTGTTTCTGAAATAATTTGTGTGTTCTGCAGGATAATTTACAGGGCTGTAATAAATGACCTACAGCAGTTTTACCACACTCTGTTTACTGTAATGCATTCAGAGCATATGCGGTTTACTGCACCTGATAAACTTTTCTACATCTTCAGCCCGACTTCATCTGAACTCAGATAGTGTTTTTTTGTTTGACTTGGGTCAGATTTATAAAAAAAATGAATTTAAACAAAAAATGAAAATGTTCACTGTGGTGTCGGATCACTTCCAGCCGATCCCAAAGCCTGGTGCACATAACCGCTCTCACCACAGGATGTGTTCGATTCACATGTTGGACAGTAAGTTATTATATAAGCCTCAAGAGCCATCAACTAGTTTATCTGGCAGCGGTTGTTAACATTTATAAATCTGCCTTTGGTGGTGTTTGTTTAATTACATATATTATTTATTTCTTCTCTTTTTTCTTTTTTTTCTCTTTCTCTTATTGTCTTATAGGTTAGAGCCACCAAACTATCCAGAACCTTCTGCTTATGCCCAGTAAAAAAATTATAATAATACATTTTATATATTGGGCTTTTCAAGGTACTCAAAGACACTTTACATGAGTTTAAAATGACAAACAGAACTCTAAACAAAAAGACCAGAAATCACAACATACAGACCAGTGATATGAACATAGATTGGTGCAGGTTTGAGGAGAGAGTTCCAGAGAGTGGGGGCAGCTACAGAGACAGCTCTGTCACCCCAGGTCCAGTGTGTCCATCTTTCTTTCATTACTCTGACCATTTGTTTCCCCATACACTTTCAAGGGGTGTTTTATTTTGTCAGACTGCTCCTATGTAGTCACTCCTACAAACCAGTCATTTTCAGCCTATGATTATGTAAAGCCTCAGTTTGCACTAGCAATGCACCAAGAAACTGGGTTCTCATTTGTCATTTAAGTGTATTGAGTAAATGCACTTCTCTCTGTCTAGTGTTTCTGCTTCTCTCTGCACCATCTGCATCAAAGACTCTAATCATTATATATTATATAAATTCTTTACATACAAATGAAAACAGCAACATCATGTGAAGACAAACATCCATAATTTGGAGACAATTAGACTTATTTGCATTTATAATCACTCCAGTTGGTTTCCTGATATGTTTAATCTGCAACGAGAAACTGTCAAACGCTAAGTCGCTTCTCATTCGCCAGCTTCTCATTCGCCAGCTTCTCATTCGAATTTTCCCGTTCCACCTTAAATGGTGCAGCAGTACATTCCAGTGCCTCAGGTCCCATTTAAGGTGGAACGGGACAATTTGATCAAAAAGCTGGTGAATGAGAAGCGACTTCAGCCTCATAAAAAGTCACACGTTGAGAGACATTTTACAAAAACATTTCCAGCTGGAGATGCGAGAAATATGACTATAGCTGAGCTGAAGTTTAAAGCAGAGAAAAGTAAGTCTGCATTTTAGTTTATATTATATTTTTATCCTATACAAGGACATCAGCACACACTGAGACATATTTACTGCCATGATGGTAAAACGGACATCAAATGTTAAAATGGCTCTTCTTAACATTTCGGTTGACGACCCCTGAGCTAATCCTACTAGTAAGGAACTGTCTGCAGCTCAGTCGGGACTGCACGATCGCCACCAGCCCAGTTAAGACCACATTCTGTGGTTCAGATTTTGTGCAGATTGCCTGAAGTCTGTAGCAAAAGTGCAGCGAAAATTATCGCTATAGATACACAAAACTTTGTAGGTGCTACAGCTACTAGCTACAGAAAATTGTAGTTAGCTATAAAAATAGTGTGCACTACTTAGCTACTCCCCATCTCTGAATATAAGCTACATGAAAATGGCTCATGGACTTGTTGGTGTTGTTTCTTTATGAATAATTGTACAGTAGGCAGTGTGGGCGAGTTCCACTCAGCATTTTATGGTATATATGTACTGCGTCTTTTGCTGTCTTTACTCAAAGCTCTGAATTCACATTATTTTTTTTTTTCTAGATACAGAAGTTAAAGAGAAAAAGATGGGATCAATGATGGCTAAATGTTATTGCTCTGGTGAGTTATTCAAATTGTTTCTTCTGTATCTGATTATTTTCTTTATTTCCACAAGAGACACCTGATTAATTGGCTTACATTCATTTCCAAAGTGGCCAGTGTAAAGTATGTCTTACGTCAGTGGTTTAACTTCATTTATTGTCACTGATGTTTAGTAAACCCAAACAAAATCTTTAACTTTGTGTATTTAAAGGCAAATTTTTCCCAATAAATGCAGCATAGTGCAGAGGTATTTTTCTTTAGGTCTGTACGTTTAAACTGTTTCATTAAAAATAGTACTTTTGTACCAAACATTATTTTATTTGTTAAAAAATATGTACATTTCCACAAATTGCATTTGGATTTAATGATCACATCAGGAGCTGATGTGAACATTTTCTCCAAGAAACTTGAGGGAGTCAGGGTCTTGGTCCATAATGCAGCTTTACTCAAGGCATAGTTCAAAACATTTACAGCAGAACTGTGTTTAGCTTAGCCGCTGTTACTCAACAATGACTGCCTAGCCTAGCCTCAGCCTAACCCCTGCCCTACAAATTAACAACAGAAGAAAAGCATTTGTTTGGGGGGGTAGGGGGTGGGGGGACTCAAGCAGAACGCATGCATATACTGATGCTACAATATGTTGCAGGCCTGTGAGCTGTAATATGGTGACCTTTGTGTTTGTGCATTTTCACTAAAAGACTCTTTCAAATCCAGCACTTTCATTTTCCCATATGTTTAAGGCTGCAACATTTAATACCAATAATATTGATATTAAAAAAATGATTTAAATGTATATTGCGGCAGCTACCATGAAGTGTGCTACCTTTCAGGATCTTAGAGACACGCTCTGCAAATGACCATTCGCAGAGGCTCATTGAAGGAGTGCTCCCCCAGTAAAAAGGGAGTGTTATTGTTGTTGTTGTTTGTTAGTTTGAGACATGTTTGTGTTTACTGTGTGTTTATGGGCTGGGTGGTGGGTTTAGTTAGACGAATGAAGTGTTTCCCATAGAATAGAATTGTATTGCTCTAGGTGACCTCAGCTATTAGGTGTTAGGTAAGAGGTTTTTCTTCTTTGTTCAAAATAAAACAGCATTTTATGGCCTCTCCTGACTCGCTTTCTGCACATTGCTATATTTGGTGTCAGAAGTGGCAAAGTGCCCCCCAGTGGCCTGGAGAGGAATGGTACTATAATGAACTTTGATAGCACATGGTGGTGAAGAAAAGAAGAATGGACAGAAGCAGTGCAACGGTAGCCAGTGAGAGAAGCAGTGGAGTGGCCAGCAAAAGAAATGGAACCAATAAAATAGTAAGTAGCAGAGTGACTGGTGGCATCTAGCTGGGGCATAGCGGAGCAGAAA